TTTCTTTTAAAATTCTAGATTCTAATCTTCCCTTTAAAAAGATCATAAAATCTGATCACAAGAGGCCTGCATTCCTGCATGGCAACAGTTAGCTGGTGTTGGGCAGTACCTGCTCTTCTCTATAGGGCATGTGCTTCTAGTTCACCGCAGTCCCCACCACTCCCTATTGGTGTCCAACACTGAGGCTGATTGCCATTGTACTGTGGAAAGCAGAATATTTCTTGTGCCCAGTCCTCTTCACTCATTTATGTTATATTCCTGGTTCCTGTAGGCACTTGAGTTCATGACTTTTGAGTTAGGCCTTAAATATCAGCATAAATAATTTTTTCTTCATTGAGTGTGTCATTGATGGTCAATGAATCAACTCATCATCCCAAACCAAATACAATTCTTAAAACTAATGGATCCCCCTTAAACTCTTACATGGATCTTACATGAGTCTCACATGAATACAATCAACTATGGCCTAACCTGGCTTTGTAAATAAACACCAAGCACTTTCCTATTTTCAAGCAGGACTAAAATGAAAAGTGACTAAAATGAAAATAACCAGGAAGCTTTGCTGCCTAGAGCAGGAGTTGGCAAACTTTTCCAGTAAAGGATCAAATAGTAAATGTTTTAGGCTTTGAGGCCATATGGTCTCTGTCACAACTACTTGTAGCATGAAAGCAGTCATAGACAATATATGAGTGAGCATGGCTATATTTCAATAAAACTTTATTTATGGACACTGAAATTTGAATTTCATATAATTTTCATGTGTCATGAAATATTATTCTTCTTTTGATATTTTTTCAACCGTTTAAAAATGTAAAAACTGTTCTTAGCTTGCAAGCCTTACAAAACAGGCAGGAGGCTGGATTTGGCCCACAGGCTATAGTTTGCTGACTTCTGGTCTGGAACAAGACAATCCCTGGACGTTTGATTTAAAAGGGGCTTTGAAGTCTGTCTGGTTCATCTCATCATTCTGTAAATGCAAAAACCAAGGCCCAGGCTTACTGGGCTTTAAAAGTTCACAAAAAGCAAATAACTGTTTCCAATGTTGATTAAAATTCCACAGAGCCCAAGAACTACAGGCTAGAGCAAGGACAACAGTGTCCAGACCACAGGTGGGAGTTTTTTTTAGACAAATAATTTTTAAAAATCAGATTTTTTGACATTTAATCTACCTCCCCAGACACCAGATACATCTCTTATCACCTCCCTCCAACAACTTCTCACAGCATATCCCCCAGAGTCATAGGATAACTTCTTGGTGTTTCCTTAATACGTATCTTTGCTTTTACAAATGCTGTTCCTTCCTGGCAAACTCCTACTCATTTTTCAAAACCCCAGGCCATTGTCAGTCCTCTAGGCCTTCCCCAACTTTCCCTTCCCTTTTCTGTGCTTCATGGTTCTTGTTCAAACAAGTACAGCAGGTATTTCATGGTATCAATATTATTCATCTATGGTCTGCCTTCTGCTAGACTGAGAGCTTCTTAAGGGCAGAACTGTGTCTTTTTCATCTTTGCATTCCCAGCCACCAGTGTGCTATCTGGAGCTCAAGGTTGATGCCCAGAGGAGGCAGTGATGGAGAAGCATCTCACCTGAATCTGATGTTGGTGCTCTCAGGAACAATGACCTCCTCACAGATCTTCTCCAGTGCAGGCATCCAGCTCGTGGCCAGATGGCAGTTCTGTAAGACCACCCAGGTCCCATCTTTGATGGCAGTATTGATCATTCTGGCAGCAATAGGGCCTTGGCCTTGGCCAAGGGAGATGGTCTGTGTTCTGCCACCTCCCATGCCAAGATCATCAGCAAACTTCAGCAGGCCTGAGACCAGGAAGAAAAGGGGCTTTTGAAAGAGGACAGGCCAGCTAAGACCATATTAACAATAAAAACACAGCAAGGGGGGTTTCATTAAAATTCTGGACTCAGAAAGAAACTCACTGGCTTCTGTTAGTTACAAAATAAGCATCTTTCTGGGGAAGCTTTAAACTTCTGGTAAGATGGTGAATGAAGCTACTATTGATTCCTCTTTTGCTCTGAACACATAGACATTCTCGATAAAAAAAAAAAAAATTACACAAACTGAAAAAAAATTAGAGTTTGAAAGAAACAAAAATTCCCAGGTGCCAAAAATGAAGAGGGAACTCAAAACTAGAGATGTGAGTACATAACCAAAGAACTAGGAACTGGGTTTTCACAAATTGATTTTTACTAGGAAAAACAGGCATTTGTACAGTGAAATTTCAAGTAAGTCTCTTTCACTTCTCTCTTCCTCAGAGATAGCCAATGTTACTGTTTGTGAATCTTTCCAGAGATAACCTATGCATTTAAATAAATGCATATTACTATTATACTTACTTGAATTGTAGAATACTACATTTGCTTTTTTCACTTAGATCTTTTCCACATCAGTACATATATAAAGGCCTTATTCTTTTTCATGGATAGTATTCACCTCTGGAAAACACCATACTTTATGTAACCAGTTTAGGGGTTGGAGTTTGTCAATGGGAGACATAACTTTGCACTCACAAGAGATGGGGCACTGGAACCAAGACTTTTGTATAAAGTTAAGATCCTCAAAGAGCTGTACCTTCATGTTAAGAAGGTCAGAAATCTGGCTACTGACTCAAAAAGCAATGTGGAAGCTTGTCACTGGCCTGGAGCCTGGGTGGAAAAAATAAACAACACTCCAGTGAGAAATGAAAACACCAAGCCAATGCCACATACAAATGAGGGGTGTAAATTTACAGTACCCTGTGGGGCGGGATTCCTAAGCTGAGAAATTTCCTATACAATTGATCCAGACTGGCGAAACTCTCGGGGCATCAGTGTTTGCACATACAAAATTGTTCTGTCAGGGCACTCCTAAAACCCAAGGTATATGAGACTCCCACAAAATAACACAAGCTTGCTGATTGTGAACTCACAATAAAAAATGACAAACTACATGAGGAAATACATCACTATAAGGGATAGTCAGCACATAGAACAATCAGGAGAATTAATACCCCAAGGATTACACATGGCCTCTATTATGGGCTGAATTGTGTTCCCCTCAAATCCACATGTTGAAGTCCTAATTCCCAGTATCTCAGAATGTGACTGTATTTGGGGATAGGGTCTTTAAAGAGGTAGTAAAATTAAAATGAAGTCATTAGGGTAGGTCCTAATCCAACATGACTGGTGTCCTTGTAAGAGGAGGAGATTAGGACACAGACACACTCACAGAGAGAAGACCAGGTGAAGATGCAGGGAAAAGATGGCCACGAATAAGCCAAGGAGAGATGCCTTAGAAGAAACCCTGCCAACACCTTCACTGTGGACTTCTAGCCCCCAGAACTGAGAAAATAAATTTCTGTTCACCCAGTCTTTGGTATTTGTTATGACAGCCCTAGCAGATTAATATAGTCTCTGAAAAAGACCATTAAAGAAACACACCTAAAAATCATTAAAGAAGGAACACAGAGCATAATAACATTTACAGTTCTATGAAACAAATACATGGATTTGGAACAAAACAAATAAAACTTCTAGAAATGGAAAGCACTGTCATTGAAGATAAAAACTCAAAGCACTGATTATAAGAACAGGTTAGATACAGCCCAAAAGAGAATTAGCAAACAGTAAGGTCTGCCATCAATGACCCACCCAGTGGTAATGGGCACCCATAGCACCCAGATTGTGGTCTCTAAATACCATGACTTGTTAAAAGAACTGGGGTTCCTTAGAGAAATGTTTGTATAAGATGAGTCTGGAATATATGGTAATTCCATACAGCAAGGAAGCTATCAAAAACTACTGGGGTTATGTGAAAAGGATATAGGCATGAAGGTGCTCCCACAGGCCAAAGACTGAACAATTTGAGCACCAAAATGAAGGATGATGGCAGTGGAGTAAAACACCACCATATTTGAAACATTCCAATGTTAAAATCCATGCATTCACAGTGGTAAAAGAAAATCTTATTGCATGTAAAACTTTGGAAGTTACTAGGGCACCAATTCATTATTCTGAAAGCTAGTAAATAAAGAGAACAAACCAAGCATCTATTCTGCCTGTCTCTTTTGAACTATATTCAGAGTAAACCAAAGAGTTGACAAAGGAAAATTCTTCTTTATAGAAGACTTCCAACTAATAAATGTGGAAGGAATGATAGAATTAAGATATCATCATTTTGCAGCCCCTAATGAAATAATGGACCTGGGTAATGATTTTCTAAGGCAGCTAAAACCATTAGGTCAGTGCTGGCCCGGTGGCGCAAGCAGTTAAGTGCTCGCGCTCTGCTGCGGCAGTCTGGGTTCGGATCCTGGGCATGCACCGATGCACTGCTTGGCAAGCCATGCTGTGGCAGCATCCCATATAAAGTGGAGGAAGATGGGCACGGATATTAGCCCAGGGCCAGTCTTCCTCAGCAAAAATGAGGAGGATTGGTAGATGTTAGCTCAGGGCTGATCTCCTCACACACACACACACACAAATTAACACCATTAGGTCAGTGGTTCCCAATATTGGCTGCACAGTGGAATTACCCGAAAGCTTTATAAAACAATGCCTGGGTCTCACCCACAAAGATTTTAATTTAATTGGTCAAGGGTGTGAACTGCACATGGAGATTTTTCTTAAAGCTCCCCAGGTGAGTCCAATGTGTAGCCAAGATTGAGAACCATCACATTCAGTGAAAAGCTGATGGGAAACTTTGTAAGGGAGGCGGTGGAGGAGTGGGAAGGTAGAATGAATTGACAATGCCTGAGCCCACTGATCAATCTTGATCAGAGAAGGAAAGACAACCAGACGGGATGTGCCTCCTAATGTGAGGCACTATGAGGGACACAGTACCTGGGAAGTTTCCTGGGAAGTTATCCAAGTTGAACCTGATCAAGCCTCTAGCATAGAGGGAGAGGAATTGGATGTAACTGGCCCATCCTCTCCCAGCACAGCATCATTTTACAGACCGTATTCTGACCTTTCCCCCATTTCTCTTCTTGATCTTTCCTGATTTACCCTAGTTTCTCTTGTTTAAATCTGTCACATAAAGGACTTAGGGAAAAAGCAAAGGTTCTAGAAAGATCATGAATTGATCTTTGACAATAATATTTTGTGTAGGAATCTGGAAAGTGCACCAGTTCATAAGCTCCCTCCTCTGACTTCCTTTGAGGTGCAGGGGTGCTGGCTTTCTGTTCGGGTCAGGACGTGTCAAACTCTTCAGCTTTCACAGGAGAACAACAACCTTGCCATTTGCATTCCTGGTACTCCTTCTTCATTCAGTAACAGAGAAAACTAAAGTTTTGAGATCCCCCAACAGAACAGAAAACTAATCTATTCCTGTCAACAACTCATACTCTTTAATATGCATACACGATTTCTGGAAATATACACAAACTGCTAACAGTGGTTACTTCTGGGCGGGTTAAGAGGAATATGTTCCTTTCACTCTATACCAGGGCTTCTCAATCTCAGCACTACTGACATTTTGGGCTAGATAATCCTTTGTTGTGGGGGCTGTCTTGTGCATTGTAGGATGTTTAGCAGCATCCCTGGCCTCTATCTACTAGATGTCAGTAGCATCCCCTAGTTGTGATAACAAAAATGTCTCCCCGCTTTGCCAAATGTCCCTTGAGGGAGCAAAATGGCTCTAGTTAAGGCACAGTCCTATACCTTCTTGCATTTTTTTAAACTACATGCAGTATTAATTATTCAAAAAAAATTAAAAATTAAAAGAAAAGAGAAAAGCCTAGCTGAGAAAAGCAGTAAGTCAGAGAAAACTGTTTAAGACAAAGGTGATAAACTGGAGCCAACAGGCTAAATCTATCCCCTGCTCGGCCCTCATAAAGGTTTTAAGAAAAAATTTGAATGAGTTATCAAGATTTAAAAGTGGGTAATTTCTGCATTTCTGGTTTCTCTTGAAAAATCAGATGATCTGGCTAACCTGGTTTCACATTACCAGATGGCACAATGCGTGGGAGCTGAGTAGCAGCTGCCCTCCTTTAGGTGGGAAAAGAAGTCTTCAGTTGCCCCAGCCCTACCTTAGCCTGTGAACTGCTTGGCCTTCAAAGCGGTCTGAGTTTGAGATTCCTACTGTAAGGGACATGCTATTGTCAACCATCCACCCATTCTGGGCACTTTATGTTCTTCACACAATATTCTGCCCTTACCTGCCATTGGGTCTGCACCCGGAGACAACACGAAAATCAATGGTGCACAACAGTTGGAATCATTGTAGGACCCCTGGAGATCAAACGTAGGGGCTTCAATGTACACGTTGCCCATGTGTTCAGCAATGAACTCCCGAATGGCTGGAACTATTTTGTCAGGCCGCAAACATCGGAGGATCACCATCCTCTCCAATCCTTGAAGAAACTTCCAAGATCCAGGGAATTTCTCCTCATGGGGCCAGGCCGAGTCATAGATGAGCTTCCATTCATTAGCATTTTGTTCCAAATGTTCCATCAGGCCTTTCAGTTTTGGCAACGCGGATGCACGAACCACTTCCGCCCATGCCTTCTCAGACAGCCATTCAGGAACTGGGTTGGGGAAGGGGTTGTCCAGGGCGACACCTCCGGTTAGAAGGAAGTACCAAATTTCCTCGTTAATTTGCTTTTTCTCTTTCATGATGCCAATGGTCAGGAGGAGGGAGAAAAGCAGCTTGTCCTTCTCAAACAGAGAGCGGCAGACATTGTTGTAGATGCTGAGGGTGAAATGTTCAATGATGTACTCAATGCGTAGCTCCAGCTCTTCGCTCTTCTTGCTATGGGCCAGGGAATGCACGTAGAGGTTTATGAACCATGTCAGGGAGTACTGGTACATTGGCTCAATGTTGGCCAGGTCAGAGATACAAAAGAAGATGGTGGCAGAGTGGACAGCCACTGGCCTGTAGCCCATCCGAGTCTCATCTATCTGTGTTTCTGTCACCGAAGCAATTTCTTGTTTCTCAGAGATTTCTTCAGACAGCAGTTTGGAGGAGGACAGAATTTTGATGGCAGTCTCATCCTCAAGGATGTTGCCCTCGGACAAGGAGAGAACCTCCAAGATCTTATCTTCAATTTCTTTCAGCTGCTTCTTGTTCTTGGCACTTTCCACAATCAACTTGTTCTTTTTCTCTTCCAGTTCTGGCTTCTCCTTGGCGGCCACAATGCCAAGGAGTTGATCTTGGAGACCTAAGGGGGTGATCATGAAGTTGAGGAGGCAGACTTTCACGGCGACTTCAGGGAGGTAATGAGGGTTCCTCAAACGGGTTGTGATGTATAACTTAAAATCCCTGGAATATTCGATGATGTTTTCACCCAGCCTCATGTACTCAACCCCTTGCTGCCTGAATGTGGACTTGAGCAAGATGGGTTCAATAAAGGCGTCCAGCTCTTCTCCAACATTTTCTAGTAAAACAGGGGTGCCAAGCTGCAGAGCATTTTCCAGCGTCCTCACATAGTTGGAATCCGAGAACTTGATGACAGACAGCCTATTTGCTTTCTCCATGTTCTTGATCCACTTATTGGCCTGCCCCTGAGGGTCGATCATTAAGGCCCAGCGTCTGGAATTGGACACAATGATGCCATTGTCAATGGAAAAGGAGTCAATGGGCAGCCCAGCGATCTGCCAGGCACGGATTTTCACGGGATCCCCTAATGTATTGCTGAGACTGAAGTCATTGGAGCCGGGGATGACCTTGTCCTTACATTGGGCCAACCACTGCTTTTGGCATTTGGCCCGATAATCCACGGTAAAGGCCCCCAGGTAAGCCACAGTCCCCGAGGACAACAACACATCCCCTGTCAGATTAGTATAGCGGATCCCCAGCTGTCGGGCAGCTTCTGTCCATCTGTCCTTCTCTCCCCCAAGTCCACTGATGAGCTTTTCTGCCCTGATCAGCTTTTGGGAGCAGATTTCAATGTTTTCCTCCAAGGTCTTTTTCTTAGTATTCATCTCTTCAAAGTCCTCATTCAAGGCCTGGAGGCGGTCTTCCACCAGCCTCAGCTCTGCTCGCTTCTGGTTTAGTTTCTGCATCTGTGCGTCCAGCTTCCCCTCAGCCTCCTTCAGCCGCTCCCGTTTGGGAGCCACCACTTTGGCCACACGATCGTACACCTCCATGGCCCTCACCCATTTGCACAGACCCTCACAGGCAGATGATACATTTTTAATGACAGCCGGCTGGAAATCTGGGTGATCGATAAACCTTTCCCGGATCCGCTTCATGATCACTGGAGGGATGTTGTCTTTGTCATATGTCTTAAGACTCTCCAAGAATTTCAGATCTCCAAGAATCTTTCTTGATACCCCCCAGTAATCTTCTATCATTTTACCTGTTTGGGACAAGAAGTAGAGATAAGACTAGTATTAAGACATTATGGGTGAGACTTAGAGCCTTGCAGTGGCTACTCCTCATATCTGGCAAAAAAAATCCAAGCTCCTACAGAGGATTTTTAGGGCAGAGAAAATACCCTGTATAATATCACAATGATGGACACGTCATTATATATTTGCCCAAAGCTATAGAATGTACAATGCCAAGAGTGGACGCTAATGTAAACTATGGACTTTGGGTGATTATGATGCGTTAATGTAGGTTGATCAATTGTAACAAATGTGCCATTCTGGTGGGAGATGTTGATAATAGGGGAGGCTATGCATGTGTAAGGGCAGGGAGTATATGAGAAATTTCTGTACCTTCCTCTCAATTTTGCTGTGAATTTGAAACTGCTCTAAAAAAATTAAATCTTAAAAAAAAAGAAGTCCAAGCTCCTCACCATGGTCTAGAAGGCCCACCGACTTCACCCACCTCATCTCTGCCTTGTTCCCTGGACTTCAGTCACGAAGAACCTTCCTTCAATTCCTGAATGATCCCAAGTGCTTCCCTACCATGAGCCCTTCACCTAGGCTGGAAATGGCATCTAGATGGCTCCTGCCTGGACTTCAGGCTCATTTTAAAAGCCACCTCCATAGAGAGGTTTGCCTAGACTTCCTTCACTGAGGTGGGCCCTTCTCTCCCTCCTCCAGCATTTTCTTTCATCTTAGCTGCTAGAATTTCCATTCCCTTTATAGCATTTATTGCAATCTGTGATTTTTTTGGTTTAATTTTATTGTCTGCCTCTTCCTCAAAGCTATAATCTCCTGCTGTGTTTATTACAATCTGGCACAGGGCATGGTATACTGTTATCAATAAATATGCACTGAATGAATGCTTCCCCTTAACCTAGTCATGGATGGAGAGGGCAACAGGAGCCACTGACATGTGTCTGGAATATTCCTTTTCAAGTCTGGGAGGTGGGTTGGATAGAACCCAATCAGTCATCCTTGTGATGAATCTGTTCTCCTTGTGAGCGAGCGAGTGATTGAGCGAGTGAGTGAGTGAGGGAATCTCAAGAGAAAGAGCGAGGGTGGGAAAAGTGGCTTGCAGGCTTGCAACCAGACAAGCCTGCCCAGAAACGAAGCAGGACCCTTCTTCTCCTTAGCACCCACCATGCTGACTAACAACTGATTGAGTGGGCCCTGATCCCATCCCGGGGCAGCGCTCCTTTTGTTGATGTGTTGGAAAAAAGTTGGGAGCCTTTTTGGCTCATGGCACTGTAAACACTTGCCAAGCTCAGGCACACCAAAAAAAGTTATACATGAGGCATCATATTAAGCACAACAGGTCAAATGTGTTCGGTTCCTAATGCAAGCACAGCAGCCAAACAAATATTTCCCATGAAGGTTTCTGTTTACATTCAGGAAAATGATCTGCTTCATCTAAATTCAAGGTACTCAAAATGAATTCAATTGTTTTTTTTGCTGCATCTCAATGTACTGGCTAAATTCTGGAGTTTAAGTGAATAATATACAAAATGCACTTCAATTTTAAAATAAGGAAGGCAAGTGATGGGTGCTGTGCTGAGCATCAATGATCCACGGAGAGAAGTGACGTTGGTGCCTGGCCATGCTTTGTGTACGGCAGCAGTTCTCAATCCTGGCTGCACCGGAGAACCACCCAGGAGCTTAAAACAATACTAACGCTCAGGCCACACCCCAGACCAATGGAGTAAGAATCTCTATGAGCAGGGGCATGGGCTTCAGCATTCCTTATGCTCCCCAGGTGATTCCAGGGTGCAGCCAGGGTGGAGAAGTGCTGGCTAGCTCATCCTTGCTCAGGGCAACTCATTACACCTCAGCTGCTTCCCTAAAGGATTCTCCCATAAAGTCCATTCCCTCCTTGTCCATTCCTGATCACCTCTGCATCTTCTTCATGGGGTTTTTGGCCTGAAACTGGCCAGGGAAGAGGGAATGCTAATCAATGGGAAGCAGAAGCCAGAGGCTCCCGAATGAGGGACCAAGAATTTCTAACATTTCAGAAGGAATGGAGGAACAGCAGGACTGTTCCCAGGACAGTATTCAAAAGGCAGGAAGTATCACTGGAGCTGGTTTTTAAAGTCCTTGTTCAGTTCTAAGACACTGGTATTAATACAAAATCCTGCATCTAATTTGGATTTTAAGGAGAATGAATATTCACCTATTAATGCTTCTAGGCTCAGTTATATGAGGAGCTTTCCTTCCTCCCTTCCTCCCCTACTCCTTTCTCCCCATTTCTAAGTCTCTGTATCCTTGTCTTCCCCACTCTCCATTCCAGTTTCTGCCTCTGCCTTCCTTTGCCCCACCTCTCTCCCTCTAACTCTCCATTTCCAGCTCATGCTCCATTTCTCTCTCTCTTCTGTGTGTGTGTGTCTTTGTCTCTCTTCTTTCTAGTTTCTTTTCATCATACTCAAGCTCTCTCTATTTTTGTGTCTCTGGATCTCTCTTATCTCCATGTCTCTCTCATTCTCAGCCTTTTTGTCTCTCAGTCTCTCTCTGTTTTTGTCTGTTTGTCTCTCCCTCCATGTCCTGTCTTTCTGTATCTGACATTATGTGCCTGAGTCTCTCCCTCCCCCATCCTCTGTCTCTCTGCCTCTGTCTTTCTCCCTCCTGATTTCTTTCCCCCTGATCTCTCTCTCCCAGTTTATTATCTCTTTGTGTGCATGTGCGTAGATGTGCATGCGTGTGCATGTGTCCAGGCATCTGGGTCTCTCTCCATTTCTTTCTCAGTCTCAGTCTTTCTCTCCATCTCTCTTTCTTTGACTCTGACTCTATATTTCTTTCAGATATCTATCTGGCTATCTCTCTTTCAGTTTGTCTCTGTCACACTCTCTCTTTTGCTCTCTGTTTCTCTATTTTTCTCTCTCTAGCTGTTTCTGTTTCTCTCTCTCCCTCTCACTCACACACTACTCTGTGTATGCTTGGCTCCACATCAGTCCTTTTGTCTCCATGACCTTCATTTCTGTAATGATTTGCAGGCAGGGGCCTTGACTAAGCTCAGCTTCACCTACAGATACCTGCATTTTCCCGACTGATGAGAGGAGGGAGGCTGGGGAAGAAACACTAGAGAGCTCTTTGGGTGTGCATGCACATCTGGGCACCTTTCTTATTTCCTCCAAGACTCCACAACACCACCTGCAGGTCTGAGGCGGGGTGGGTGGGGGATGCTGGCACCCTTCCTACCAGGGAACAGCAGCCCATGTAGGCCTCTGGGTTGAGGGAATGCCGAAGGGGATTACCACTGCCACTGGGGTCTGGCTTCCTTTCTGGTCTCAGCCCTTTCATGACACAGATGCTCTCCATGACCAGCTTGACAGGGCCTGGTGGGTTCTGCATCGACTTCACCAGTGAGATGTCCGTAGGGTTCAAGGTGTCGAGTGCAGTGAGTGCAGCCTCCAGCGCCGGCATTGCCTCTGCCAGGTCCCCCTCACATTCATTCTGTGGGCAGCACAGGGACAGGGGTGAGTTCCTGGTGCCCGGCACACTGCAGGTGAAGCAAAGCTCTGCTCCTGGAGGAAGTGGGAGGAGGTGCATCCGCCCCGATGTCCTTCCAGGACGGTGCCTCCTCTGGAGCTCTGCACTCAAGGGCGGCTCTAACTGTTGCCCGGCAGGGAGATGTGCATGGCCTTTGGGGCTGCAGTTTGGATGCCTTGGACATTTGAGAATTCACCTGGTTTGTGATCTTAAAAAATCAAGCTTTTGGTTTTTAACAAATTCCTAAGACATACTGACCAAGGATGGATTGAGAGATGGAGTAATGGATGAGGCTTAGAAGGTGAATGACAGATGGGAAGGGGGTTATGGCAAGTTCAGGGAAGAAATACGGCAACAGGGGTGGGAGAAGGTCAGGGGTGGGGTGAGGGTCTGGGATGCACTGTAGCTCAGAGACAGGGTAGAGGTACAGTTGGGGTAGGATGAAGCTGGAGGACAGGATGGAGTTGAAGGCCAGAATTTAAGGATGAGGAATGGGGACAGAGATTAGAGCTGGGTAGGGAACTCTGGGAAAAGGAGACGGTGTACGTTTTGTCTATTATTTCTTCATTTAAAAAAAAAAATTAGGGGCCGGCTCTGTGGCTTGGTGGTTAAGTGCGCGCGCTCTGATGCTGGCGGCCCGGGTTCGGATCCCGGGAGCGCCCGGAGGCACCACTTCTCCGTCCAACGCGAGGCCGAGTCCCGCGTACAGCAACTAGGGGGATGTGAACCTATGACATACAACTGTCTACTGGGGCTTTGGGGGGAAAAAGCTGAATAAATAAAATCTTTAAAAAAAAAAAAAATTAATACAATGGAATATTATTCAGCCATAAAAAGGAATGAAGTACTGATTCACATGACATGGATAAACCTTGAAAACATTATGCTGAGTGCAAGAAGCCAGACACAAAATGCCACCTGCTATATGATTCCATTTGCATGAAATGTGCAGAAAAGGAAAATCCATAGGGGCAGAAAGTAGGTTAGTGGTTGCCAGGGGCTGGAGAGAGGGAGGAAGTGCAGTGACTGCTAATGGGTATAGGCATCTTTTCGGGGTGATGAAAATGTTCTAGAATTAGATAGTGGTGATGGTTGTACAACTTTGTGAATATATTAAAAACCACTGAATTGCATCATTTAAAAGGGTGAATGTTAGTGGTATGTGAATTATATCACAATTTTAAGAAAAGAAAGCATAGCATTATAAGACTCTAGAACTGGAAGAGACTTTATAGATTACTTAATAGCTCAATTATCAAATCCAACAACAACAAAAAATGAAGTCTAAGGAGGTAAAATCAGTTAGCCAAGGACACACAGCTGGTTAGCCACAGAGCCAAGGTCCAGCCCTGGACTCCTGGTTCCCACTCAGCAAATTCTCTGTCAGTCCCCCCAGCCCACAGAGTGATCACACAGCCATGACTAAAGTGAAACTTCACAAGAGAACGTCAGCTCTTAGACAAAGCAGCATGCATTCCTGCAGGTTTATTGTGATAGGCAAACAAAATAAAGGTGGTTCCACCTTCTCATATACATGTGTGTGCTTGTGTAGGTATACACATGTGTGTGTATATTATGGATTCTTTATTTTAGGTTTTCTGCTTTTCTTATAAAACTTACAGCAATATTTTATTTGGCTTCATTATATTAAAACAATCCCCTCTCCAAAAAAAAATGAGCCATGTCAGATGTCCCTAATATCAAAACAGAATGTCCTGCTTCAGATGGCAATAATGGCTCAGTCCCGGGGTGACTCAGTTTGCCCCCTCTTCAGCCCTGGGATATGCACCAGAGTGCAAGGCAAGAGGAAAAAGAACCAAAACCTGTCCCTGCTATTTCCCATGATCAGCTTCAGAAAGCATTTGGTGGCAGAGGAGACTAAAGGTGTTGGCTCAGCCATAGCTTTGGATTCTCAGTGGATTTCAACGATCCCAGGCACATGGCTTCATATTATCGATAGTTCTGTGTTGCTTTCTTATAATGGACCAGACAACTAGTTGCCCACACTTGCTTTGTGCCTCCCAGTAGCTTGGTAGCTCTGCTTCCTTTCCTAAGGTGCAAGGCCTAGGGTCCAGCTTGGAGCAAGCTTGTTTGTCAAGTGCCTCAAAAAGGCTCTAATTGTAACATGTGTAACAGTGATTCTCAACCCAGGCTCTGCATCAGAGTCATGGAGGAGCATTTAGGGCATCTTCACGGTCAGGCCCACACCCAGAGATTCTGACTCATTCAGTCTGGGTGCAGTCTGGGCATCTGTATTTTTAAAACTCCAAAGGTGATTCTGACATACAGCTCTGTTGAGAAACTCTGGTCTACACTCCTGAAACACTGAAAACAGAATAGGAAGGAATAGATTTCAGTGCCCAAAGGGGAATGGCTACTTGATGAATGAAACACCTACTTAAAATGGTTGTTAAAATGATTATATGACATTTTGGAAAAACATTTGTGATAGGATGTTAAGGAAATAAAAATGCATGATGCAAATTGCAATTATGCTATGATTGCAGTAACATAAAATTATCCACGTGTATAGATAGGGACTAGAAGGAAACTTGGGAAGATGTTAAAGTTGAGTTCTTAAAAATTCTTTCACATAGTTATTACTGTTGCATCATTTGTTTCCATGATAAAAAGCATTATAATTAAAAATGACCCCTGTGGCTTAGTGCAAGGAGCAACCGGGCTGTTTGAGAGGTATGAAGCACAGTGCATTCTGATGAAAAGTAATCAACTCTGCAGTAATTCTGGCATCATTTATTATCCTCATTAGGGGGAAAAGAAATGATTCATTAGCTTAAAAAGAACCAACCAATTTAAGCAAATCATAGACTTGTGAAACAAGCGTTTGGGGCCTGACTCTCTGCCTGGCTCCTCATCTCCCCTGTACGGATTCCACTCACTGTGTTCAGCCTCTACACTGTGTCAGGCATCGCTGGGTGCTCTCCATGTTATCTCATTTCCAGGGGTGAGAGGACATTAGAGAAAATTAGCACTCCTCATGTGGAGAAGGACTGTAGCCCTGAGAGGTTCAGGAAGGGGTTCTGATCCTCACGGAAGCCTCAGAGCGAAACTCAGAGCAAGCACAGGTTTATTCTCCTCCCTGGATAGTTTCTTCCACCTCCTGACTCACCTCCAGGATGTCACTCCCACTTTGGGGATGGGATGGCAGAACATTAGACCTCGCCCTTCACACCGAAACCCGAGGTGGCAGTTTATTGCACAGGAATGGGTGTGGTGGGTCATCTCCTTGTAAACCTCATGTCACCTCTTGCGTCCCTCCTGCTCCAGCAAGTCATTGTTTTCCCCTGACAATGCAGAGCAGAATCCTGGGTATGATGGATCCACACGTGGCAAGAGGCTGCCCTTTATCAAGGTAAACAACAACTGCTTTGGAGAAGAGCTAACATGGTCCATTAAGCTCTGACTGTCTGCTGGATACATGTTACAAGCTTTACATGTTTTTCTCTTAGTATCCTATTTTATAGATGAGGAAACTGAGCACATATTGAACCGTGATGTGCCTGATTCTACTACAGAACCATGGAGGAGGTGCAAATTCATGTGCCTCCAGGGCCAGACCAGTGATATGAGCGTGGGATGTGGGCCGGCTGGGGCTTTGGTGAACTGGAACACTCAAGCGGCAGCATCTATTCAACACTACTGATGGGTACAACCCAGGAATGCAGGTCCAATGTTGCCAGAATGCTTGATTATTTCCCCCAAGAAAAGCTGAAACTTTATAAATTTCACTTGAAATCTGTTGATTTTTAAAAGTTGATAATTATTTCAGATTTAAAAAAAATACTGTGCGTGTCACCATGTATGTGTGCTGCCTAGCTGCTAGTTTGCAACTTCTGGAATAATGATCAAATGCAGCTTTGGAATCAGAGAACTGTGGGTTCGAATCGTGATTCTGTCACTTGGTAGCTGTGTGACCTTGGACAAGTCATTTAAGTTCCTGTACCATGATTTCCTTATCTGTAAACCGGGAATGATACCATCTGCCTTGCAGGGCTGTTAGGATGATAAAAGGTAAGGTAAATCAAGTAGAGGGGAAGGCAACCTCCACCAGGGAAGGAATTTTGTCCATCTTGTTCACTCCAATTTCCCCACTGCCTAGAAAAGTGCCAGCACATAGTAAGTGTTCAATAAATATTTGTTAAACAAAGGAATACCAAAGAAACCTCCATGGTGCTGATAAGGAGTAGCTATTATCATCTTATCATAGAATTGCAAATCACCTACTGCCTGGTGCCTGGTGGTCACTGTCTTTTACGGTTCCACTGGTCTTCTGACCACGCCATGAGGACTATGAGTGAGCAAGCCTCTCTTATCCAGGGCATTCACTGTCTGACTCTGAGACCAGGGATTGGACCCAAGGGAATCTACGAGAGGCCAGGTCTCAGGACTCATTGAAGAAAAGCCAGTCTGGAAGGTTTGCCCTTTTGGAGAAAGTGCCCCATGACCTAGAAGCCAGACACAAGCTACTCATTGTTCAAGCTCTTGTTTGAAGAATGGTCAAAAGAATTTTCTAACTGCTAAGTGGGAGCATAGGGACAAGTATCTTAAGCTAACTGCCATGAACCTTGGATTCTCAACCCACTAACTTGATGTACAGCTCTGGAAAGTCATTTCACCACTGAACCTCAATGTCGTTGACTTTCTGATCTTGACACCTGTCATTCCTAAGTCCACGGTAGCTGTGATACTCAAATGGAACTGTGTACTTGAAAGTGCTTTGAGAAATATATAACATCACGCGAATGTTAATCCAATTTTATTCTAATAGCAGGTGAAGCCCTTCCCAGGACTATTTTTCTTTAGTACAAGAATCACATTCAAATGGGGTCCTCTAGATTCAACATTCTGTCATTCAACAAATATTTACTCTACACCTAGACATGCCAGACACATTTGAGCAAAAATGTGAAGGAGGTAAAGGAGATAGCCATGTGGATATCTGGAGGAAGAGCCTTCTAAGCAGAGGGAACAGCCGGTGCAAGAGCCTTGGGGTAGGAATGTGCCTTGTGTTTATCTGAGGAATAGCTAGAAGGCCAGTGTGCCAGAGCAGAATGAATGAGGGAAAGTAATAAGAGATGAGGTTAGATCATGCTGGGGCTCGTAGGCCTTGACTCTGAGGGAGATGGAGAATATTTGGAAAACAATAATGCTTCCTGGACAGAGCCAGGTATTAGAATGACCTGCTTCATCACTTACTAGCTGTTTGATACTGGGAAAATCACCTACCCTTTCAATCCTCACTTTTCTCACCTGCAAGATGGGCATGACCATTCTTCAGGACTGTGTCAGGCTCTAGTAGGATAACAGATGAACCCAGAAAATTCTGGTTCCCTCCTTTTCCTCTCTGTTCTTTATACCTTGATTCCTTGAGCAATGGCGGCAGCAGCATTGGCTTCTTTTTCATCTGCTTGCACCAGAAGTTTCTTGGCATCTGCTGCTCTCGTCTCCTCTTCAATTTTCACCATCATTTTAGCAGTCTCCTTGGAGGTCTGGATGAGCTGGGGTTGGAGGGCGGTCAGTTCTACTTGCATGACTGCCACCTAGCAGGAAGAGAGGAGTGGGAGGCGTGCAGGGTCAGCTATGTCAGTGCCAAAAATGGTAGAGTTGGCAAAAGTTGAAATGATTCTTCAACCTATAAAAATACTAATGATTTTAACATGGTACTGGGTATATATCTGTTGGTTGGAGTTTATCTCTTTGATCTTTCAATACTTAGTTACTGAGTTCATACTATGTCTTATCAAGCACTGTGCTAGGCACTAGAGATATAATGGTAAACTTAAAATTTTTTAAAAAGGTACAGTTTCTTTCTGCATTGGGCCGACGTTCTAATGTTGGGGGCAGGGAGAGAGAACAAAGGCAAATTAGGGGAAAAAAAGAACTATGTTTTTTTAAGGCTGTGAAGGAAACATACACGGCTGAGATACTTGGGATAGAAGGAACTTTCAAGGCCATTTTTTCCAACAGTTTGATGCCCTTTAAAACATTCCTGCCAAGTAGTTTTCTGGCCTCTGTTTGAACACCTCTAATGATGGGGAGCTCACCATCTCTCAGGAGAGTTGTGCCATCTTTCAGACAACTAAATGCATTAGATTTTCAAGACGAAGAGCTAGAATTTACCCCCATGAAGTTTTCACCCATTGGTCCTGATTCTGCCTTCTAAGGCAGCTCAGATGCATATTTGAAGATGACCTTGCACCCACTGCCCCCAGGAAGCCCATGTGAGAGAAGCACATCATCCTAGCCTGGTTAGGAACACAGGCTCTGGAGTCATGCAGATCTGAGTTTCAGCTTTGGCCCAACCACTTGTGACGGTTAATTAAGAGACTATATGATCATGGGCAAGTTGCCTGGGCCATCTGCATCTTGGTTTCTTTGTGCCTAACATGGAGATGGTAACAGTACTTTCCTCATTCACGGCACTGGGCACGTGGTAGGGCTCAAGGAATGTTAAGTGGCACCACGATTCTCTTTTCTGCTCCTCAAACAACATGGTCTGGACAGACTCCAATTTTCAACATCTCTCTAAAAGCCAAGGACACTGAGTTGGACCTAGCACCCCCAGGAGTAGAGAAACAGTGGCCACCTCTTGGTGTTCTCTCCCATCCCTGTGCTGCAGCATTGGTGCACCTGCTGTACTCAGCAACAGGCTATCCTAGTGTAAACCATTCAGTTGCCTCAGTTCCTTACTGGCGCTGAAAATTCATCTCTTCATATGGCTCTCATTAATGGTTTGTCAAGTGGTTCCAGGCACAAATCAATTACTAATTCACATGCCAGGCATTTTGCTAAGGGTTGTGCTTATGTTAGTTCATTTCATCTTCATGTAGCCCTGTGAAGTAAAAACTGTTATCGCCTTTTTAACAGAAGAGGAAACTGAGGCCCCCAGAGGTTCAAGGTTCTATACCTGGTAAGTTGTAGAGCTGGAATTTGAGCCCAAGGCTGCCTGACTCCACAAAGGCCTGCTCTTAATCACTGCTGTATCCTGCCCAGTTCCCCACTGACAGTATCCAGGCCCAGGGCAAGGGTGAGAGGCAAGTGAGGCACTTGCCTTGGGCAAGAAATTTAAGGGGCACCAAAAAACTCAGTACTCAAGATAAATAGTATTTTATTCAATATTTTAAGAAGTCAAAATTAATGCAAAAAAATCTATGATGAACAAAATATCAAAATCTTAAAGACAGAATCTCATAGGGCTGGGATTAGGCTGAGACAAGTGAGGTGAGTTCAGCAAATGCAGGTCAAATGCTGTCTTTATTTGGTGCCCTCTTAAATTATGCACCTGAACAACTGCCTCACTGCATCTACCTAATCCTGGACCTCTTTGTCCCTGTTCTGTTTTGGCATTGGTCACCTGTGAAGCTGCAAATTCGAGTTTCTGCAGGCCTGTCAGATAGCGGTTCCTCATCATATCAACCTCTTGCCTCTTGCTATTCAGAAGCGTCTTGAAGGTTAGGATCAATTCGAGGTAGGAGGTGGGGGTAACATAGTTGTGTCTGCGAAGTGTGTTGTAATAATCAAGTGACAGCTTCTTTACACTCTCCTGGAAATATTTGCACATGGAGATGACCCTGCCAAGGACACAAGGGTGGTTAGGCAGCCCCAACTTCCTCCAGAGAGATCTAGTACAGCTTTGGTTACAGATGTGAGAAGGCACATACTGACTATGGCCCGCTAGAACCCTAAATTCTCAGAAGACAGGTCAACAGAGCCACGAGAAGGATTGGGAAGTGTATATTCTTACTAGAATGATCTTTGAGCAAGCAGTTTCTATCTCTGATCACTTTGGTGAATCACCAGGGCTCACGCAGGAGTTCTTAACATTTGGCAGTCTGGTGAAGCCTCTGGACTTTGCAGAATAAAGTTTTAAAATGCACAAAATAAACTACATATGATTACAAAGGAAACCAATTATGTTGAAATAGCTTTCAAAATATTTTAAAAACTGAATTTGTGATATAGTAATATATGTGCTTTTGATCAATGCATTAAATCAGAGGTCGGCAAACGTTTTCTGAAAAGGGCCAGACAGTAAATATTTAGACTTTGTGGGCCACACAGTCTCTGTGGCAACTACTCACCTCTGCCATTGTAGTATTAAAAAAGGGCATGGCTGTGTTCCAATAAAACTTTATTGACAAAAACAGGCTATGAACTGGACTTGGCCAGTGGATCACAGTTGGCTGACTTCTGCATTAAACAATAAGATTGGGCAGCACAGGGCCGGCCCTGCGGCTTAGCGGTTAAGTGCGCACGCTCCGCTACTGGCGGCCAGGGTTCGGATCCCGGGCGCGTACCCATGCACCGCTTGTCCAGCCATGCTGAGGCGGCGTCCCACATACAGCAACTAGCAGGATGCGCAACTACGACATACAACTATCTACTTGGCCTTTGGGGAGAAAAAGGGGAAAAAAAGGAGGAGGAGGATGGGCAATAGATGTTAGCTCAGGGCTGGTCTTCCTCAGCAAAAAGAGGAGGACTGGCATGGATGTTAGCTCAGGGCTGATCTTCCTCACAAACACACACAGAAAAGATTGGGCAGCAAGTCTAAAACTACCATAATTTTGAAGGAAACGATATACCAAGGTATCTGTAATGACTAAACAAGTTATTTTAAAAAACCGTGATTCCTATTAGTAACAAATTCTGCTAACCCTACTGGGGTTTATTGCCTACATTCATCATTGAAGGAAATGCAAAATACTAGTTGGATGTCAGTGAAATGTGAAAATGAAGATGTAATTTTTCTCCATTCACATTCACTGACCCTCTGAATTCAATCCATGAGCCTATGGACCCAAGTTAAGAGTCTTCTAGCCTAGAGAATAAAGTTCAAGTTCTTAAAATGGAATTTAAAGCCATCAAACATTCTGTCCTCTGCCTACTTCTCCATCTTCCATTCATTCATTTAGTAAGCAGTAACTGAACCTACTATGTACCAGGCACCCACTAGGCACTAAGGATATAGAGGCAGACAAGGCAGATGACATGACCCCTGCCTTCATGGGGCACCCATCTCTTTCCTGACTCTAGCCAAAATTAAGTGCTTTTTTTTTTTTTTGTATATCTGTGCTTTATACAAAAAAGAGTAAGTTTCTTTCACCCTCACAATTACCAATTTTCATCCCCTTGGCAACGATATTGCCCCTGTTGAGAATGCATGCTCTAAGACTATTGAAATAGCTATATTATTATATCGAGGTTCTCATAGCTATGACAACAGTGCATTTCCAGGATAATTCTGAACACTTTTACTCTTTTTCAGCAAACGTGTTTCATTAAACATCTAACTAAATGTGATTTAAAAGTATAAGCCATTTTTCTATATATAAATTGAGAAATCTTAAAACAACAACGAGAACAGAACCAATATCTGGATTTTCAACTTGAAATATCTGGTTGAGGTACTAAAATGTAGCTAACACTTACTCTATTCGAATATTGTCACCAAGCTCCACATCTTCCAGAAATTTGTTGGCCACCAGTTCCAGGGCATCGGTGGGCCAGGACTGGAACCAGTCAATCGTACAGCAATTGATCAGTGAAGGGAACATCCGCAGGCGGTTCCGGAAGGCATCCCCAATTGGACTCATGGCTAATGAAAAGTAGACTTTGTTAGTTCCCTTCCTTTAAGGCAAGGAGCCCCAAGTGGGCAGGCATGTCTTTCCAAGTACTCTGGTGGGATAGGGTGATGGTCATGTTTCCTGTTAGTACATGGGGTGTAATTCCAGGGGTGAAATTGGGAATAGTCATGGCGAGTGCCTGGAAAGCGCAGGAGAATCATGGGATAATTTCATGCAATTTTGTGACGGAAATTCAGTATACTACAGTAGCCTCACGACTGGTCTCCCATTCCCATTATTGTCCCTTCCAGATCCTTCTGGTCACTTAGCCAGAGTGGTTTCAGCCGTTTGATCCACTTCTTCTATTTGTGCTAAGACATAAGGGAGTCACGGATGCCCCACACATAGTTACTTATGGAAGTTGCTGTGGGAGCCATCAGCTTGTTTCTGACCCCATCTCCATCCAACCACAAATTCTGGATTCTATACCCCAAATTCCATTCATTTTTTATTTAGACTCAATGTGGTAGGAGGAAGCATGATGTATGGAGGTGGAGGTATGAGGAGGTCAGTGTGGCTGAAGAACAGAGAAAGAAGGGGAAGCTTGGTTTGAGATGAGAGTGGAGAGGATGCAGGGGACAGTCTGGTAGGTGGTCTTTTTTTTTGTGTGTGTGTGTGTGAGGAAGATCAGCCCTAAGCTAACATCCATGCTAATCCTCCTCTTTTTGCTGAGGAAGACCGGCTCTGAGCTAACATCTATTGCCAATCCTCCTCCTTTTTTTCCCCAAAGCCCCAGTAGATAGTTGTACGTCATAGTTGCAGGTCCTTCTAGTTGCTATATGTGGGACGCGGCCTCAGCATGGCCGGAGAAGCAGTGCGTCGGTGCGTGCCCGGGATCCGAACCCAGGCAGCCAGTAGCGGAGCGCGCGCACTTAACCGCTAAGCCATGGGGCCGGCCCTGGTAGGTGGTCTTATACAACCATGTGTTAGGAATTTTGGTCTTTATCCTAATAGAATGCAATTTAAGTTTTAATTTATTTGTGTGTGTGTTTGTGTCTGTTGTGTGTCTGTGTATACACACAATGATCATATTTGTAATACATAAAACAAATCCTGGCTCAGTGGAACAGAAAGGTCTGGAACAAACAAGAGTGGACATAGAACAGTTAGAAAGTTGCAGAGGTGAGGTCTGGGTGAGATGACAGAGGTTTAGCTAATGTGAAGGTGGTGGAGATGGAGATAAGTAGGTGGATATGACAGAGAAGTAGTAGGTAGAAATTGGGAGAACATGGTAACCAGAGGGACAAGTAATAAACACAACCCTTAGGTTTCCAGATGGACTGGGGATATCATTCACAGAGAGAACACCAAACTGAGGTTCCAGGGTAATGTACTAAAAGGAAGGAGAGGGTTCAGAGGAAAATTCAGAGAACTGAGGAGAGTGGAACACATTTAAAATAGCTATTGAGGAGAGTGGAAGCTTCAAAGGAATTCCAGGCACTGACCCCTACGCAAGTGCCTTGGCTGGATCAATCCTGGGACCACTGTAAGCGGATTAGGCTTAGGACTCTCAGGAGACCATGAAACACTCAGAGGAAAAGGGCAAATTAAGTTTGCTTCTTCTTACCAAGGACAATGTGAAGGTTCTTCTTCACTCTCTCAATAAAGAAGTTGTACATAGAAAGAGGAGTGACTTCGATCTTCTCTCCTTCTGTCCTGGCTGCCATTTGCATCTTCTCCACAAGGTCAGCTTTCTCATCAGCTGGAAAGATGTTGGGCACATCACCCGTGTTCAGAAGCATGTTGATGTCTTCGACAAATGACTCATCCTTGATCTGGTTATCAGTGAAGAGGAACACAGTACTCTTGGTGGCCAAACCGACCTGCAACATGATCTTCTTCAGGTCCTCCCGCCAGTCATTGCTTGCATAGTTCTTAGTGATCTCGATCTGGTACAGCTCGTATGAGTTCATGAATGTGGACAGTTTGCTGGCACTCTGCCGCCCACTGCCCCCAATGCCCACCAGGAGCAAGTGGCCTTTGTCCTGCTTCAGGACCCTGCAGATCCTGGAGATGTGCTCAATGGCGAACCTGAACATGACCAAGGACATGGGGGCCTTGCTGATGTTGTTGAACTCTTCCAGGTAGTAGTCCATGACCACTGTGAGCTGTTTCAGGTCAGTGATCTCATCGTAGATTTTTTGGTCACTTTCTGGCTTGAAGAAATCTCCAAAGAAGAGGCTACGGATATTATCATCGACTATCTTTCCAGTGGGTGATAGGTGGATGAGGACCTGTGGGAAAGATAAGACTCAGTCAGGCATTCAGCCAGTCGCCCCACCATGATTGCAGTGGGAGGTGTGGAGGGAGGGAACAAGAGATATGCTTGTTTCCTCTGAGCACATTCTTCCAAGTCATGGTTCAGCAACAGTTGTGTTTTTTTTAACATAATATATGGATCTGATGGTTGTAAAGACTTAGCAAAGGACATTTGAGAAAAGAATGTGAAAGCGAGGGTCAATCTGTTTGCTAAGCGGTTAAAACACTGGTGATCAGAGTATAAGATTTACAAGAGGAGGTGGTCGAAAAATGGCATCATTTTTTTATGTACTTGCTCCTTCACCAAACAGAAGTACAGGCGCTACTCCTGGTCCCCACTCTGTCCCTAGAGTAGGAATGTTTTAGACGCTTCCTCTTCCTGATACTAGAATCTGGCAGAGTTTCTGCAGTTGGCCTCTGGATGCAACATGAAACACTTGCAATTTTTCTATGGAGAAATTACGGCTTCTTAAAAAGAGGGGTAGAACTAGACGATGCAAATACATAGGCTTAAAACAACTTTTCTTATAACAAAATGGAAAAGAGAAAATATTTGTGAGTGGGAAACCGTGACAATCTTTCACTGGGTTTTACCAAAGCCTCAATCAAACCATGAAAATTCATGGTTCATTTCTCAACTCACAAATTAATTCACACTGAACACGCATTTTAAGTTAATTATAAACAATAACATCATATCGTAAACTTCTTTGAATGGATCCAAACATACGTTACTAGGAAAGTGAAGCAAAATTGGGCCAAGTATAATATCAACGCATTAAGTGACTAGTTGACTCAATACCATTTCCTGAGATTCGGAGAGCAGGGCTGCATCTCCACTAGGAAGGGAACCTAAAGTCTGAGACTTAACATGGTCAAGTAGTTGGGACCATTTGTGAGGCCAAATGATCACAGGGTCTGGCATACCTTCTCTACGGTCTGCTTGAAGCAATTGGAGGTGGTTTCCTTCACCATGTTGAAAAACACCTGTCTGTCCTCATGATCAATCAGACGGTCATAGAAGACTCGATAAACTTCATGGATCCAAAGCCGGATAAATTTTTCTACATCCTGAAAATCCAGATAATTATTTGAACGAATGGAAGGGAGTGCCTGAAGTGGTAGTTCTCAAATAGTTTCTAAATCCTGGGGTAAATGAGATAACGCTTATAAAATACTTAGCACAACGCCTAGCATAGATTAAAAGCTTAATAAAAGTTAGCTAGTACTAATATCATTGTATATTCCATGTAGCCAAGGATATTGCTGAATGAACTTGATAACAGAAACGATAGTGGCTGACCTGCAGGTGGGTGTGAGGGCAGAGCAATACCCCTTGGACCACCCGTGAGAAGTCCCGCAGGTTAAAGACATAATGTGACTTGGAGGGAGTTGGCAAGAAATTCTCCACTGCAGCTTTATAAATTGTCATAGTAGCTTGTACCAGCATCTTTCCATACCTTGGGAGGAAGGGGAAGACAGACCAGTCAAGGAGGGGCCAGAACTGAGGACCCCCAGGCCAATATCTGGGAAGACACAGGAACTTCTCACCTTAAGAATATCACATCAAACCCTTTCCCGAAGTGCCAGTCAGCGATTGAACTGAAAATCTTGGTTAAAATGTCATCTTCAAAGGCGTTGATGGAAATGATATTCAGATGGCGAGTGAATCGTCCTAGAAAACATGCATACACGAGTGTGCACACACACTCACATTTACCTCCTGGGCCTAATGATCCTGGGATATAGGAAAGTCAGTTTTCCCTCTGCCTGTGCTCTAGAGCTGTGCTGTCCAATATGGCAGCCTGTAGCCACTTAAACTTAAATTAATATTAAATAACACTAAAAATTGATTTTCTCAGTCTCACTAGCCACATTTCAAGTCCTCAAGAGCAACATGTGGCTAGTGGCTGTTGTACTGCACAGTACAGATACAGAACATCTCCGTGATTGCAGAAGTTCTATTAACAGCGTTAGTCTAGTGCTCAAGATTGTTTTTAAAAGATAAATGCAACGTGGCCATTGTAAAATAGTCAAAAGATTCAGAAATACTTTTATAGAAAGTGAGTATTGCCTTTCACTTACCTCCCACACACCAAATCCATTCTTCCCCCCAAATTAACCACTGTTAATTTGGTGTCCTTACATATCTCTATCTATCTATCAACTGATCTATCTACCTACCTATTAGATATCGATATCTATATATCAGTTTTATTGAGCTATAATTCACATACTACACAATTCACCCATTTAAAGTACACAATTCAATCTTTTTGTAGCATATTTGAGTTGTGCAACCTTTACCATAATCAATTTTAGAACATTTTAATCACCCTCAAAAGAAATCTGTATCCATTGGCAGTCACTCCCCATTTCCTTGCAGCCCTCAGCACCTAACAATCTATTTCCCACCTCTATAGTTTTGCCTGCACATCTTTTTTTTTTTTTAATTTTATTATATAAAGTAAGACACAGACACAGAAAACCACACAAAACAAATGTATAATTTAGTGAATCACTCTAAGGTTAACACCTTTACATCTACCATCCAGGTGAAGAATCAGAACTTTACCAACCCTCCACAGAAGCCCCTCCACATATCTCACCCCAATCATAGCCCTCTCCCTCCAAAAGTTACCACTATCCTGACTTTTATAGTAATCGCTGCCTTGCATTTCTTTATGGTTTTTATCACCCAAGTGTTCATTCCTAGACACCAGAGTTTAATCCTGACAATTAAAAACAACCTCTATCTTTTAAGTCTCTTAATCTGTAGGTTCCCCCTTCATCCCTTTCTTTTATCTTTTGTCTGTTGAATATCTGGTCTGTTTGATCTGTAGAGTTTCCACAGTCAGAATTTTGGTCACTGCATACTCATGGTGCAGTTTATTCTGTTCTTCTGTCCTCTGTATTTCCTACTAATTTGCAGCTGGATCCATAGACTTGATCAGATTCAGGTTCCATCTCTTTGGCCAGACTATAGGTGATGGGATATTCTTTCAGTAGAAGGCACATGATGATGTTTCTCCTTTTGTGACCTTGGTAGCTACTGATGCTCAATGGCGAGATCTATTAATGCATTGAGGATTGTAAAACAGTGATATTCTGATTCTTTCTTTTTCATTTATTATTGGAATATTCTATAAAGAGACGCTTCCCCTCATCTAGTATTTGCTTATACAGTGGTACACTTCATATAAGAAAGTCAGGATAAATGCTTGATTCTTTCCATTTATCTGTTTTCAGATAATTAATTGGTTCCTTACCATCCTCTGAAGGTGACCAACTACTATTGTTATTATAGATTCATGGATTTAAATATATTTTGATAAATTTCAATCCATTGAAATTACTATCATTGTTGAAGCTCAAATGTTCCCATCTTTGGCCAGTGAGAGCCTCCTTATGTTGTCAACTGAGTCCTTTTGACATGACTCTTTAGTCTCTGAAAGCTTTCTCATTATTTGGTATATCAAGAAGTTAACAGGCTTATCTTGTACATTTCCTGCCCCAGACATGCAATCGGCCATTTCTCCAAGAAGCCCTGGTTTCTTCTAGTAGGAAATCAGAGCCTGCTAGGCAGGCTCATTATTAATGAATTGGTTATGATTTTCTAAACCTAGTACATCAGTGGACATCATGAGTTAGTACTGATATTTCAAATTCAGGACTGTAGGGCTTTTACTTATATTACATCTTGATCTCCCTTCTTCCACACTGAAACTCCTGGTTCTCAAGGACACAAGGGACAGTAGAAATAGAAAATCTCAGTGACTCATTTGTATAATCCTACTTTATACATGCAACACTCTAAGAATAAGAATACACTACCACCACTAATTATGATAACTGAAAACAGTTTAAACCTTTTTGTACATGCCATCCTCATTCCCCTCCATTTTCAGTTGTTCTATGTCTACATCACTGGATCATATAGCCTTTACATATTACAATCTCTCCCGTTCAGTCTTAGTTCAACAAATAACCATATATTTAATGCTCACTACCACTTGTTATATTGATCTCTTTATAGTCATTTTGATCGTCTGAAATCCATTTGCTAGTAGATTCCTAGGAAAGGGCTTAACAGTTCTTGCATGTTGATAAAAGTTTTCCTTCTATACTTGAAGGTGAGCTTTGCTGGCTATAAAATCCTTGACTCTCATTATATTTCTTTGAGTTTCTTAAATATATTATTCCATTTTCTTCTGGCATAAAGTATTACAGTTGGCAAGTCTTAAGATGATCCAATTTTGTTTTTATTACGTTATGTGCTTTTTGCCTAGATGTTCAAAAGATTTTTTTCTTTAAAGTCCAGTAATTTCACTACTGTAAGTCTTGGTAGTGATCATTTTTGAGTTTGTATTCTTAGGAACAATGTGCTCTTTCAATATGTAATTTTCCAAAAGATTTTTTTCTATTCAGGAGCATTTTATTGGATTATAGCTTTTATTATTTGATCTCTTTCCTTACTTTGGTTTTCTTCTTCAGATACTCCTGTTAGTTGTATGTTAGATTTTCTTTGCCTAACTTCAATATTTGTTACTTTCTCTCACATCTTTTTAATTCATCTCTTGCATTTCTTTTTTTAAATTTGTTTTATTGTGATAAAATACATATAACATAAAATTTACAATTTTAAGCATTTTTAAGTGTACAGTTTAGTGGTATCAAGCACATTCACCTTGTTGTCCAACCATCAACACCATCCATCTCCAGAACTTTTTCATCTTCCCCAATTGAAACTCATTAAACACTAACTTCCCATCCCCCTCTTCCCCTAGACCCCTGGCAATGACTATTCTACTTTCTGTCTCTATGAATTTGACTACTTTGAGTACCTCATATAGTACTTCAAATAAGATTATACAATATTTGTCCTTTTGTGTCTGGCTTGTTACACTAACATAATGTCTTTAAGGATCATCCATGTTGTAGCATGTGTCTTCATTTCTTTATTGACTTTTAAAACTTTTATTTTAATTTTTTATTTCTTAAGGCATTATTGGTTGTATTTATTCTATTTTGTGTTCCTTTTAATTTTTCATTTATAAAGTAACCCTTTTATTTTTCCTAATTCTTGCCATCATCTAATTTCTAAGTTTTTCTAATTCTGATTTATGTCACTCTTGCATGTACTGTATCACCTCATCAATGTCTTTTAGGTTGTTTTGAAGTAATAGATTACAATTTTTTGAGTATGTCTTTCTGTTGTGCTTTTTAAGGGTGTTTTTCTGCTCTTTATTCTCTTTCTTCTTATACTAATTTTTATGAAATATGACCTCAGTACTTTTTTTGCTCATTTTATGTATGAAATTAGAAGGAGGCTTGATTCAGATGGCTTTTTTAACTCCACAAAGTACCCTTTTCACTCCACAAAGTGACTTGCTTTCTGAAATTTTCTGCCGCTGTTCCCCTCTCCCACTTCCATTTTGACCTTCTCTTTCCTTTGTTTCTATTAATATTAACCTGCTCAATTCTGATTCACCTAGTTTCTCTTCAGTGTAGGGCCCTGCCTTGGATGGGAGACCTGGCTGGTTAGTTTTGAGAAATCACAGTTGGCTACACTGCTCTTATCCCTTAGAGCTCACTGCAGGCTCATCATGCTTACTTGTTATTTGAGTAGGTAAAAGTCCTGCCAACCTCAGCTCCTGTTCTCAAATTGTCTGCCACACTTATCAGTGAATAACCCTTAGCTACTTTTGGGTTCTACCATTCTCAGGTCTGTTAGATCTCCCAATACTTCTCTTTCTCCTTCACAGATGCAGGTAATATGAAAGTCTTGTAGCTGCCAGTGGTTTGTTCCCACCAAGTGTACTTTGCAATATGTACGGGATACCCTGCCAACCAGTTTTGCTGTAAATGTTGTTTATAGGTTTTTGGTTTTGCTATCTAGTTGCTCTGTTTATGGGAATTTGGGAAGACTCAAAAATTATTCTGCCACTGCTGTTGCCATTTTCCCAAAATTCTTTCCATAGTTTATATCTATATTTATATCTATATCTCCACTATACTTATATATAGAGTAATATGTATATATATTAAGTATATATACTTATATACATACTTACACATAAATGTAGGTTTTACTTTTTTTATTTTCTGAAGAAGATTCACCCCGAGCTAACATCTGTCACCAATCTTCCTCTTTTTGCTGAGAAAGATTCAACCTGAGCTAACATCTGTTGCCAATCTTCCTCTTCTTTGTATGTGAGCCGCCATCACAGCATGGCCACTGATGACTGGTGTAGGTCCACACCCAGAAACCGAATTTGGGCCGCCAAAGCAGAGTGCGCCAAACTTAACCACTAGGCCACGGGGGATGGCCCAGGTTTTACTTTTTTAAAAAAAAACCTCGAATCATATTTTACAAATTATTGATCTGGAACCACTGATAGCTGTGTGAACTTAAGGAAGTCACTTACCCTTTTGATGATAAGGATAATAATAGTGCTTAATGTCTGTTAATGCTTATTATGTGTTACCTAAACCCAGATCAGTCTTCTGCCAAACCATGTTCTCAACCACCATACTGTATTGTCTTGAGCCTCAGTTTCCCCATCTCAGCCCTAATAGCTGGTAACTGGTCTGGCAATTATCAGCTAGGCTGTTGGTCCTCCACTGAACACAATTTCATTAAATATCAACATCAGATGTGCTCACTCCCTGACTATGATGTAACAAGACAGAAACAAGATTGCTCTGCAACCATGAAAATGACCAGACTTCCTTTCTATCTAACAGGAGTGACTATTTCTTTACCAAGTGACAGCTCTAGCCCCACTTCATTCCTCCTGCCTCCTAGAAAAAAAGATACCCCCCCATTAGGTTGTCCCCACTTCCTGAGAGTACCCAATCCAGAACAGAGCCCCTAGTTCCTTAAGTGTTCCCTGAAATCAGCAGCAGAAGCCCATTTCACTCCCTTTCACCAGGCACTCCCACAGTTCTCCCCTGTGCAGACACCCTTGCTGCAGCAAATTAATAAACCTAATTTCACTTGACTACAGACGTGCTCCTGGCAGTCTTTGGGCTCTGGCCTTTATTATAGGATCTTATCAAACATCATATTCATGATGTAATTTGAAACCCATCAACTGCTCTGCAAATGTTAGTTATTACTATTTCTGTGATATGTGCTCGAAACAGATATTCTGTTTGGAATAGGTCTTTTCCCCCTAGTTTTATAGTGATATAATTGACAAATAACATACAACTTTAAAGTGTACAACATGATTATTTGACATATGTATATATTGCAAAATGATTACCACAATAAGGTTAGTCAACACTTTTATCACTTCACATAATCACCATTTTTGTTGTTGTTGCTCACTAGTGTCACCACGCTGTACATTACATCTCCAGAACCTATTCATCTTATAACTGGAAATTTGTACTCTTTAACCAACATTTCCCTATTTCTCCCACTCCCAAGTCCCTGGCAACCACCATTCTACTCCTGTTTCTGTGAGTTTGGTTTTTTTAGATTCCACATATAAGTGAGATCATACAGTATTTGTTTTTCTCTGTCTTATTTGACTTAGCATAATGCCCTCAAGGTCTATTCATGTTGTCACAAAAGATAGGATTTCATTCTTTTTTATGGCTGAATAATAGTCCATTCTGTGTGTGTGTGTGTGTGTGTGTGTGTGTGTGTGTGTGTATCACATTTTCTTTATCCATTCATCCATCGATGGACACTTAGGCTATTTCCATGTCTTGGCTATTGTGAATAATCCTGCAACGAACATGGGAGTGCAGATATTTCTTTGAGATAGTGATTTCATTTTCTTTGGTATATACCCAGAAGTGGAATTGTTGGATCATATGGTAGTTCTATTTTTAATTTTTTGAGGAACCTCCATACTGTTTTCCTTAGTGGTTGTACCAATTTACACGCCCACCAACAGTGCACAAGTGTTCCCTTTTCTCCACATCCTCACCAACACTTGTTATCTCTTGACTTTTGGATAACAGCCATTCTAATAGCTGTGAGGGGATATCTCATTGTGGTTTTAATTTGCATTTCCCTGATGATTAGTGATGCTGAGTACCTTTTCACGTACCTGTTGATCATTTGCATGTCTTTTTTGGAAAAGTTTCTATCCAAGTTCTCTGCCCACTTTTTAATCGAATTGTTTGTTGTTTTGCTATATGAGTTCCTTACATATTTTGTATATTAACCCTGTATCAGTTAGATGGTTTGCAAATATTTTTTCCCACTAAATGGCTAGGTCTTAGGGAAAAGTAATATACCAAGCTCCTCTCCCTCTCACTGGTGAGAGAGGTGTTGAACTTAAAGATGTTAGGTGCCTGAGATCCTGCTCTATTCAAACCCAAGGCAAAGCTACTCTATACTTTATACTTGAAGTAGAAGGTGATGGTTTGGGTACCCAAATGAGATCATCCTGTTCATTTTCCTTATTTTACAGATGAGAAAGGTAAATGCCAGCGTGGAGAGCAAGGTCACAGAATCATAAGTCTGGAAATGGCATTTAGATTCTTAACCAAGAATGTATCTCAGAATAAAAATACAGATACCTGCAGACCTGGATGGATGAAGTTGCAGCTGAAGCAAAATATACTCCTGAACTGTTAGATGACAGGAGGGAATATCTTATTTATTTGTTTGTTTTATTATTATTTTGCCTAGGACACTTTGGGTTAGGTGTTCTGTCTCTGGCAATCTGAAGAATTGTAAGAAGCACAACAGGTGAATCTGTCATGCACCCCTAGCTGAGAATCCCTGATCTAGCCTCCTTCCTGGAACACATGCTGGTCACACTGAACTCTCCTTTTCATAGGAGACTCTCTGTTCCTCTAGGGCCTAGCCAAAGATTCCTCACATCCTCTTTTCATCTTCCCATCCTACAGTACACAACTTCCAACATGAAATATTCAAATGCCACTCCCTGGAGCTAACCCAAACCCCTCTGGCTACAGCCTAAACACACTTTTTTCCCACCCTCCATCAGGACAGAGTGCCCTGTACCAACCCCCCATTCATGAAAGTGGTCCAGCTTTGCTGGGGGGTAAAGAGGAATGAACTCTCTCTCCTTCACATACCAGTAATGTCATTCCTTCCTCCCCCAGGGGGGCCCATGGCTGTCACAAGCAGCACATCCACGATGTCCAGCCTGTTTGTGTCCTTCTTGTCAAACCAGTAACCGTGGTCAATCCATTGCCTCAGGAGCTCGATGGGGGGCTGGGCCCCATACACCTCTTTGGCTGGCATGTTCAGGTCATCTGGGGAAAGAAGCCATGGCCACATATTGTAAGTCTATGGGATCCTCTGCTGTTATAGGAGGCAACAGATGACTATTCCCTCCATGGGAGAGTCTGTACCCAGTTGTCCCATCCCCACTCCAGGCAGAGCTCAGCCAGTGGACATTCTAACCACATAGGAAGAGGTTTTCCTGGGTTCTGGGCTCTCCTGCCTCATTGAGATCTCTGCCCATTGTGACTTTAAGGATGCATAGATTGGCATCAACAAACAGGCATTTAATTTTCTCCCATTCTCTCAACCAAAATATATTGATTATCTACTATGTGCTAGACATTTTGTTAATTGCTAAGGATGTGATGGTGAGGAAGATAGTCATGCTCCCAGCCAACAAGGTATTTAGTTGAACCAGCAGGTAATAGTTGAACTCCAGTGGGAGCACGGCTTTGGGCTAGGGTTTTTGAGGAGCAAAACCAAAATGGCAAGAATAGATTGTGGCTTCCTCGAAGGTAGAGATTGATTTCGTCCAATAGCATATCATCCAGTCCTGGCACGTAGAAGGCACTCAATAAAAGGGAGACTCTTTTAATTTTTCTCCAATGAACATTGATTGAATGCCCAGTTTGTGTCATGTAACAATTTAGGAGTTTTATACATATTACCTCATCTAATCCAAATAATGACTTTATAAGGAAATAGTATTACCTTTTTGTGAGAGGTAAGGAACTGAGGGTCATAGAGGTTAAGTCACAGTATGCCGAGGGTTAAAAAGTGAGATTTGAATCTAGGTCTGTTTGGCTGCAAAGCTTAAACTGTTTTTAGATACACCATAAAAACAGGAAGAGGGAACTGGTTGGAAGAAAGGAGAAAGGGAGGAAAACAAAGGGAAAAGAAAAGAAAATAGGATCCTTGCCTTTAAGGAGCTGATGTTAGTTGGTAAGGATATAAATACACACAATATTTACTATCAATATATGAATTTTAAAGACAGGATATGAGACAAGCCAGAAGAGCAGGGCATTACTCTTACTAAATGAGAACTCTATGAGTCATCAGTAAGAAAGTGGAAAATATAATGTATTTGGCACCAAGAAACCTGGTTTTGGCTCATGGCTCCAAAATTTTCTAGATGTTTGACCCTGAACACAGAATTTAACCTTCTGGAGCCTCAATTAACTGACTAGTAAAATGATAATGATGGTTAATAACCTCACAGGGTTGTGAGGCTCAAATGAAATAAATGAGAAAGTTCTCTGTAACCAAGTAAAATCCTGGGAAAATTCAACATGCTTATTTCACAAATATTTATTTAGCAACTGTTAGATTTCTTCACTTACTAGTAACATATTTATCTGACACAAAATAGAACAAGGGGCTTATCACAAAGTGTGTGCTGCTTTTAGAGATGCGAGAGGGCAAACACCACAATCCTCTTCTGCAACTCTCTCTTACTACAAAGTAACCTTGCCAGATTCATGGGCTCAGCTTCATCTCAGGAGAAAGTGGGAGCCTCCCTCAGGCAAAAATGCCTGGACCGCATCTCACTTACTGAAAATTTGGCATACAGTCCATGGTCAACAAATACCATGAAAGAAATGAAAGAAAAAAAGGACAGGATAAACAAAATAAAAGAGGGAAGAAGGGAGAGAAGCAAGGAGGGAGGGAGGGAAGGAATTAAATTATATTAATCAGAAATATTTTATCTCCCAGAGAGAGTAAAAGGACTGTACACTGGCCCTACAAAGGGAAGTTCTGGTTGGCTGCAGCTTAGAGTAGAAGAATCTGGTCATGTCCAGATCCAGGCCAATGCCTTACCCACAAACACCACTGCTTTCTTCCCTAGGGGAGGCCCAAAGAGGCCCTTCCGACGTCGATCCAGCTTGGACATGATGATATCCTGGGTCTGATTGGCTGAGGTTCTGGCAGAGAAATTGATGCAGTTGGGCAGGTAGGTATTTTTGGGAAGGCGGAGAAGGAAGTTGTTGGTGATGACTGATTTGCCAGTGCCTGTGGGTCCCACGAACAGCACTGGAATCTCATGGTCCACGTAGGTTTTCAAGAAGAAGGACTGTCGGGCTGTCTCCATCGTGGGGATAATGAGTTCTGAGACCTGTGCCACAAAGACATGGGTGAGTCCTGGTCCTGGGCCCAGGGGGCAGGTCTTGGCATTCAAGAGACTTGGGTCCCATCCTTACTATCCGTTCAGCTCCATTCCTTACTATCTTTATGATCCTAAGTGAACAATTAACCTCTCCAGGGGCCTCAGTTTCTTCATCTGTGAAATGGGATAATAATGGCACCTAGTTCACTGAGTTGTTTTGAGGATTAAATGAGATCCTGCATGTATAAATAGATGGGCATTATTGTCCCTATGTTGTAGATGAGGAAACTGAGGTCCAGAGCTCTTCTGTAACTTGTCCAAGTAACACGGCAAATAAGTGGAAATGCAGGGATTTGAATCCCAGCTTGTCTGATTCCAAAGTCTACATTCTTAACTGAATTGTCATATTATAAACACCAATTACAGTAAGGATGGGTCTATACTGTGGCCCTCCAAGACTACTGTTCTGAACCAACCTGTCTGCCTCACCTCAGGCAAGGTCCACCTCCCATATGCCATCTATACTGCCTGTCATAGAAGGGTTGGGTGTGACACTTGACCTCCATTCCCTCCATTTCCTGTGCTTGTTCCTCATCTGCTTTTTCTCAACACTTAGATTCTTGGTTCTATGACCCACCTTCTCTTAGCCCCTTTTTCAATATGGGGATTGCAACACTCTTCCTTCCAATTTAGACCCCAAGTGGACTCTAAGGGCTTGGTTTTGGGCTCCTGGAATCCCTATTACTTTGGGTAGAACATCTTACCTTAGCTTGGCTTGTCTGAGCCCAAACTCTGTCATCAGCCATTTGGCCACATTTAATGAGAGGAAGGGGCAGGAAGATGTATATCATACATTGATGTCTCCTTATCTGTCTAGGATGGATGGGGCTAGTGAACATGGAACCACCGTGTTGCACAAATCCAGGGAGCACCATTCACACTGTGGCTTATGTAAATGGTGCCTCTAAAGCAAAACTAGACCATAATACAAACGGCACCAACTGGCACTGCGCAACATGGTGGCCCTGTGTATACTGGTAGACAAAGACTTGGCTTCTTTTGAAAAGTAATTTGATCAAAGAAAAAGGAGCAGACAGGGCAAGTGAATTGAAGTGGAGAGGAAGAGAATTAATAGGCATTGAGCTACGGATGTTTTGCCTGTATTATCCTCTGAAGTCTTCCCAGTAACCCTCTGGGGCAGGCATATTATTAGCTCAGTTTGCCAGATGAAAAAACTGAGGCTGGAGGATTGCTGGCTAACTTGTCCAGAGCCACAGAGCCAGTCAGTAATGCTGAAGGCAGAACCAGGTGCAAGATGCTTGTTTTGCTACCAAGACTGGGAATTTAAAGCAAGTTGAGTTTCATAGATTTTTATCTTCAGGGACTAGAACAATTGTTTGACAAGGAAAAAATTTCCAGCAGAACTGAAAATATTTTCTGCATTGGACTTTTTCACTCATATGACTCCAGCAAGATTTCAAACCCCTGGAGTTCAGGTGAGTAAGTTCTTTAAGGAGAATTTAAGTTTTGTATCTCAGTGCTGGGGGTTTCTTCACAATACTCAGCCTCCAGGGTGTGTCCTGAACTCAGAACACATTCACCCCTGCTTATTGCACCATTTTCACAAGCAGCTGTGGTCCTGCCTGCTGTCTAACTTGATTGTCAATACTCCCACTTTCCCATCCACCATCTACCACTCCATCCAGGGCCTGAACCATCTGCAATCACCCCCATAAAGATAAAGTATGTCCACTAGATACTACTAACAGAGGCAAAAAAGTACACATCTGGAAAAATTTTCCACAAGGAAATGAGCAGGAGTTGTAGGTGAATCGTCTGCTAACCAGAAAACCTATTAATCAGAACCTATTTTTCTGAGAATTCTGATCAAGGAAATCTTTCTGTGGGGATTTTAAAGAAAAAGGTAAGGATGCTTTTTGGTTGAGATGTCTGAGATGTGGACTGATGATACCTGGCACTGATAATGATAATAATCAGAATGGCAGCCACCACTGATCTAGCACATAGTACGTTGCATGTGTCCATGTACATTGTCTTCAAACCTTACAACAATTGTTTAAGTATTTTGTAGTTGAGTAAACTGAGGCAAAGAGAGTGAAGGCTGAATAGGGAATCTGGGTCTCTCTGATTCTAAAGTCCATGCTTTTGAAGACTCAATCCAGCTCATGGTTGAATCTTTTTCTAAAGAAAGTTCTTAAAAAGCTAACACAGAACTGATGTTAAGTTTTCCGCCTTGGAGAATATTTGGGTCATTTTGGAAACCAAAGTTCCATGGCCAATACCTCTCTTTTACCTTTGCATTACTTGGGATATTTTCTTCCTCTTTGGTGATATACTCTGTCCATGTGTACCAATGTCCACTACCTTGCTTGAGGAAATAAAAATCATAGATGCTTCCTGGACTCAAAGAAACAACAGGTCATTAGCACACTAGAGGTTTACATTGCACAGTTGAGGTATTTAACTACTTCAGCCACAGGTATCTGAAAATGTGTAACTACCAGTACTGGCATAATTATAGTGAAACTACATGTTGTAAGTGTATAAACTGGAACAACACCTTTTAAAGAGTACTGACTTTATCTGTATAAAAATGATGGGTGCTAATTATACAAATAATTAAATTATTTTAATAACGTAAAGAGGAAGTATTGAAAAGAACAAAAAAAATGATTTCATTTCTTTTTCAAGAGGGGACCTTTTTAAAGGTGCTTAATTTTCTCAGTTCTTGCATGTTTGAGAATGTCTGCCTGCTGTTTTTGTTTTGAACAGTGATTTGGCTGAGAGTAATATTCTTATGACATATTTTCTTTCCCTGAAAATTCTGTAGGCCATTGTTCTATTAAGCCTTTTTGTGTTCTAAGTTGCTGTGCAGAAGTCTGAGACCCATCAGATATGGCTCCCTTTATTGAATGTTTTCTCTATCTAGATGCCTGATGGAATCTCTTTTATCCTGGAAGTCCAATAATTTAATCAGGTTATGTCTTTGGTCAACTACTCTCTGTTTTTCTCGGAACATAGCACACTCTTACACTTTGTTGAAACAGTTCTTCATTTTAGGAAAAATTTCTGCATTTGTATCTTTATATGTATTGTCTATACTATTTATTGGGTTACCCATTCAAGGAATTAGCATTGTTTGGCCTCCATATCAATGACATTCTTTATAATTGTTTTAATGTATTTGTCTTTTTTTCCTATGGTAAGTGTAATGATCTCAAACTTTCCCTCTAACCCATCTACTAAATGTCTAGCCTTGTATACTTTATTCCTTGCTGGTTCTAATTTATTTATTAGATCATTAATGGTATTGTCTGGTTCTCAGTTTGTTTCTTTGGTTTTTCAATTTCTCTTTTCCTCTAATTCTGTGGTTTTATTACCTCATTTACAAACTTTTAAAAGACAGATTAATTAAGATATAATCCATATACCATATAATTCACCCATTTCAAGTGTACAATTCAATAGTTTACTAAAAATATATGTATATGTGAATATATTAATATTCACAGAGTTGTGAAGTAATTACCATAATCAATTTTAGGACATTTCATTACACCAAAAACAAACTCCATACCTCTTAGCTGTCACCCCCCAAATCCCCCTCCCACCCAACACCCAATGCCCAGGACTAGGCAACTACTAACCTACTTTCTGTCTCTATAGATTTGCCTATTCTGGACTTTTCATATAAATGAAATCATATAATGTGTATTCTTTTGTGACTGGCTTCTTTCACTCATCATAATGTTTTTAAGGTTCACCCATGTTGTAGCATGTATTATTCCTTCATTTCTTTTTATTGTTGAATAATATTCCATTGTATGGATATAATATATATTATTTATTCATTCATCAGTTGATGGATATCTGGATTTTTTCCTACTTTTTGACGATTATGAATAATGCTGCTATGAATGTTTGTGTACAAGTTTTTGCATGGACATATGTTTTTGTTTCTCTTGGGTATATACCTAAGTGTGGAATTGCTCAGTCATATGGTAACTCTATGTTTAACTTTTGAGGAACTACTACTGTTTTCCAAAAATGTTGTACCATTTTATATTTCTATTATAGTATGTGAGGATTCCAATTTTCCCATGTTCTCACCAACGCTTCTTTTCCATCTTTTTTATTATTCTCATCCTAGTTGTGAAGTGGTATCACACTGTGTTTTTGATTTGCATTTCCCTGATGGTTAATAACGTTGAGCATCTTATCATGTGCCTATTGGCTCTTTGTATATCTCCTGTGGAGAAACATCTCTTCAGTTACTTTGCCCATTTTTTAATTGTGTTGTCTCTTTATTATTGGGTTGTAATACTTCTTTATATATTCTAGATACAAGTCCCTTATCAGATATATGGGATTTGTAAAAAATTTCACCCATTCTGTGGGTTGTCTTTTCACTTTCTTGATGTTGTCCTTTGAAGTCTTTAATTTTGATAAAGTCCAGTTTATCTATTTTTTCCTTTGTTGCTTGTGCTTTTAGTGTCCTAAGAAACCACTGCCTAGTCTTAGGTCATGAAGATTTGCACCTATCTTTTCTTCCAAGACGTTTATAGTTTTAACTCTTAAATTTAGGTGTTTGATCCATTTAGAGTTAATTTTTTTAATTAATTTTTTTTATTGATGTTTTAATAGTTTTTAACATTGTGAAATTTTGGGTTGTACATTTTTGTTTGTCCATCACCATATATATGACTCCCTTCACCCCTTGTGCCCAACCCCCACCCCCCTTGCCCCTGGTAACCACAATACAGTTTTCTCTGTCCATGTGTTGGTTTATATTCCACATATGAGTGAGATCATACAGTGTTTGTCTTTCTCTTTCTGGCTTATTTCACTTAACATAATATGCTCCAGGCCCATCCATGTTGTTGCAAATGGGACGATTTTGTCCTTTTTTATGGCTGAGTAGTATTCCATTGTATATATATACCACATTTTCTTAATCCAATCGTCAGTCGAGGGACACTTAGGTTGCTTCCACTTCTTGGCTATGGTGAATAATGCTGCAATGAACATAGGGGTGCATAAGCCTCTTTGGATTGTTGATTTCAGGTGCGTTGGATAGATTCCCAGTAGTGGGATGGCTGGGTCATAGGGCATCTCTATTTTTAATTCTTTGAGGAATCTCCATACCGTTATCCATAGAGGCTGCACCAATCTGCATTCCCACCAGCTGTGTATGAGGGTTCCTGTTTCTCCACATCCTCTCCAACATTTGTTGTTTTTTGTCTTGGTGATTATAGCCATTCTAACGGGTGTGAGGTGATATCTTAGTGTTGTTTTGATTTGCATTTCCCTGATGATTAGTGATGTTGAACATCTTTTCATGTGCCTATTGGTCATCTGTATAACTTCTTTGGAGAATTGTCTGTTCATTTCCTCTGCCCATTTTTTGATCAGGTTGCTTGTTTTTTTTGTTGTTCAGTTGTGTGAATTCTTTATATATTATGGAGATCAACCCCTTGTCAGATGTATGTTTTGCAAATATTCCATTTTGAGTTAATTTTTTACTACGGTGTGAAGTAGAAATACAAATTCATTATTCTATAGGTAAATATTCAGTTGTCCTAGCACCATTTGTCGAAAACATTATTCTTTTCCCATTTAATTAATGTGGTGCCTTTGTCAAAAATCAAGTCATCATAAATGTGAAGGACTTATTTCTGGATTCTCAATTCCATTCCATTGATCTATATATCTAACTTTTGCCAGTACCACGCTGTTTGTCTATGAACTTTTTAAAAAATTAAATTCACATTTTACTAAGTTCTTTCAACAGAAATATTTTCTGTTTCTTATGTCATGTTTTTTTTTAATTCTCTTTCTCTGTCTCTGTCTCTCTCTGATGTTTGCACAGTTTCCATACTATTCTTGCTCTGCTATAATCAGGTAAATTCTCTTTGACATCTTTCCCAACATTATGTGGAGCCAGTTTATCTCTCCCACTTTCTTGGCCATAATCAAGGATTGGTGTGTGGCTTTTTCTGTAGCCTGAGGTTACAAGGGTCGGGTAAAGAGAAAAACTCAGTTGCCTTTCCTGGGAAACTTGGGCTCTGCACTCTCTTTCTAAAATTTGGCCAATTTTCTTGAACCATGGGTCCATCACACTCCCATCCCAGCTAGCGACATGCCTCACTTCTATAGGATTCAGCTCACATCCTTAACCCATCACGGAGCTTGGGAAGATGCAAACTCTGGCAGTTTCTCCCACTCCTATTAAGGTCTTACAGAATTATGCAGGGGTTTCATGCTCAAAAGTTTCTCTTAGACATTCTTCATAGCTGTCCAGTCACTACCAGAGTCCACTTTTCTCCACACTGGTGATTACCAGTAAGACTTCTCAGAATTTTGTCAACTCACCCCCTTTCCTCTATGTATCACTCTTAGGAGGACAGTGAGGTGGTGGGCTCTGGGTTGGGAGATGCCTCATGCCAGATCTTTTGTTTCTCTCTCTGCCCACCACTTTTCAATGTTTATAGAATTAGGTCGTAATGTTTTCTTTAGCTAATGCTGGGGAATTTTTAGTCTTAAAAATTTGGTTGGTGGTGTTGTTCATTTTATTAGGTATTAAAGGAGGGAGCTTCTGTTATCCTACGTCATTCTGCAGCTTTACCTAGAAGTCAATCTGGTACAATACTTTTAGAAAGCAATCTGGCACTATGCTTACAGACCTACAAAAATGTTCTCTAGACTTAGTCAGAAATCCCACTTCTGGGAATTTATCATAAGGAAATAATTCATAATGAAAATAATCTCTATACATGAGTATGCAGCACCATCTGTGATAGCAAAAATTTGGAAATAATTTACATATCCTCCATTAGACCAGTCAAAATAATGTCTTAGAAGATGAATGGAATATTTCATACTTATTAAAATGATAGTTGCAAAAACTAAGTATTAACCTAGAAAAATGCCTTTAAGAAACAATGTCAGATGAAAATAGAAGAATAAAAATAGGAATAGATACCATTGTGGCATCTATGTAAAGAGAAGAAAGCAGGTGGACAAGACAGAGAAAAGATTTTTTGAAAACTAAAATACTATGATAGAGTGGTATGAGCAAAGAGATAATTTTTGGTTATTTTTGTTTAATAAAATTGAATTGTTCTTACAATAAAAAAGGTGACACTAGAAGCATGATTCAGAAAAGCATTTCTCCCCCTTCCCTTGCTGATGTTATTAGCTAGAGCCAATTTGTGGTTTGATATACAGGAACATTTAGGCCAAAGAGAAAAGGTTCAACTGAGTAAAAGCAGATTTACCAGCTATGTGACCTTGGACAAGGTTATCATTTGCTCTGTAAAATGGCCTGATTTTATGTCAGGCTTAGAGAATCCCTGCGGAGGGTGAATGAGACATATGTGTCGAACATTTAGCATAGC